AGATCTCGATCTGTCTCTGCGCTGCCAGAGAAAGTGGAAAAGTTTCACTCATTTTATTAGTCATTGTTTGCGATATATCAGGAGCTATCTCTAGCAATCAATGTTTCACAATATAGTAGATAAAAATAGATGACTGCCGAAATAATGCTAATTTTTCATGTTGGTGTAGTACATGAAATATAGTACAAGGGCTCAAAAAAATTAAGTCACTATATGCATTTTGAGATCTGATGTGCTTCTGATTGTTTATAGCTTATGAATGGCAGTTAAGGGTTGGGTTATTTCTTAGAGGTTTGGTCTTCCACCTAAAGGAATGGGTGTTACTTTGACAGAATGGCAATGCACTTCGTTCCTCTGTGTTTGTCATCCTGATCATCATCCTGATCACAGTTTGGCCGCGCTAAACAGTTTTTATCAGTGCTACGTCCGCTCTCTAATTAAAAGAATAATGCTTCTTTTGACTTCATTCTTTTTTTATTCCAGAGTATAATATGATGTGTGCGACTAAAAAACTAGAATAATACGACCAATTCATTTTTCTCAGTGTCTGATCTGACTCTTGAATAATAGAAGAATACATTTTAACAAATTATGAGTAGATTAGAGCAACAGCGATGTTACCTGCATCGCTGGTTTCACAGAAATTTAAATCTTAGGTTTAAATTCGCCAAAATATGAAAAAAATATGCCTACACACCTAGAGATCCTGGGATTAGTTAAATCTAATAATAATTAGAAGAAAAGCTAAACAATGCCAGAAAACTAAAACACATAATTATTTTGCTTCCGGGAATCGAACCCAAGACTCACTGCTTCAATTTCGGAGTTTGAAAAACCGAAACCGGATGGTGCATTGAAGCCCAGACTAGATGAGCATAGGAGAAGAATTTGACATCATGTCATTTTTTTTGACGCTCGAACGGATTTTCCTGATGAAAAGCTTGAAAGTCTTGGCGAAAAGGTTAAACTGGATTAAACTATGCCCATTGAAACGTTGTGTTGTGTTGCTGATACTGTCACATCAATTGAAACTGTTACCGTTGGCTGCATTTCAAACATTTAGACAACCTGTTTCCAAGTCGCAGGTGCAATTTTTATTCTTGATGACATAAAAAGCACCGGCTGAACTTTATGTATCTTCTACTCCACGCGTGAAATTTTTAAAGGTTTGTGAAAATTATTTACTTCAAAAATATTTTGAGCTTCTTATGTGTTTTTACATTGCTCCATGATTTTATCAATTTTGCGATAACGACATTGGCTTTTTCCCGCTTGAGAATATATACTCATCATTACAATATCTTTTCGAGTTTTCACAGCTTCGAAAATTCTCCAAAAAATCAAACTATATGAGAATTCGCTCTTTCGACTCACCAATACCCAAAATTACATGCAATGTCTATGCAGGTCAGTGTAACAGAACTCGTTAGCAGCAGCATAATCTGTACAATTATATAGAATGGTTCAGTCATCTACTTGAAAGTGCAGCATTATAAGCAAAGACACTTTTATCGATGGATCAGGACACTTTTATCTACGGACCAGGACACTTTCCTCTTAGAATGATACACATTTGTTATATGAATGAGAATATTTTAATAATTTTGCAAATCGCCGAGGAGCGGCAGGATGATATCCGACACGCAACTTTCACAGAATTGCTCTTTTTACCTGACCGGGATGCAGTCAACTGCTTCCCGGTATTCATACAGCAGGCAACTTAATTATATCCGTTTTACCGTAAAATACTTTTCAGTTTAAGTAAACTGTTCAGCGGTCGAATTGAAATGACAATTAATTTATGGCATCAAAAATCTTGTTTAACTACTTATTATAAATAAATATTTATTCTAAAATTTAAAGTTCGTTCATCGCGACATCGTTTTCATTAATAAAAAACGATATTGAATGCGAGTTGCATTAGAAAAATTATTTATTAGAATTTATCCTACTTTGTTTAATAGATAATAATCGCGTAATGGCCATATCAAATTTGTTTATGAGCGCAATTTCTATCCTTGAAATTACGGTATTGATAAAAAATGGCCAGTCGCTCACGCCGCTAAACGGTTGATAAATAAAAAAAAAAACTCGTCTGGGTTTGCTTGGTCAGATTGGTTCGATCCGGCAGTGTGACGTGCGTGGCCCCGCTGACTTTCTTCTATCGGTGACGTCGAAGAAAAGGTCAGGTGACATCATTATTGACGTCTGTATTATACGAGTATACCAGATTTCGTTCTTGGTTTTGTTATTGAGAACATAATCAATTATGTTATAAATTGATAACATGTTATCAATTTAAAAGCGTTACAATGAGAAAACATTCATTGAAGAAGAAGAGAGGCAATTATACCTTGCCAACTTGCAGGTGAAAAATTTCAAATTTTTGTCAATCGACGGCCATTGAATGAGCATCGATATGCCTCGGTGGCTTATAACTAAAACGGAATTGTCAAGACTGAGAGCAGCGACCAACAGTGAGCATCGCCCAGCCTTCCCAAACTTCTCAAACATTTTTAAACCTTTTAGTGGGCAACCTTCTATAATGATAACTTGGAATTTACGCCCAAACAGCTCACCACGTTCCCCCTGCTAGTGTTTGATGCAACTTATCATGCCGTACAATAATAATAATAATAATTATTAGATGGAATGATATTATTATTCATTATTATTAATTAATTATTAATTATCATTATAATTTAATCAATAATAACCTGTCCATCGTTCCATGCATAGCATCATCTTTCCCCACCCTCCTATCATGCTCAAGGATTTATATAGGAGCATTTAAAGGAAAGTTGTGGCTCAGGTCTTGAAATTGTCGCACCTGTAACATTCTTGCAAATTACTGGAGAAGCCAATTCTATTCATTTAATGTCCGTAACTTGACAATAATTATTAATCTGAAATAAAGTAGCAGTAGTGGCCGCACTTGAAACATTTTTCAATTACGATTTACAGCTTGCAAAGTTTGAAAATGCCTACGGGTAAATAAATATCGGAATTGGTCATAGTTTCTTGAACTACCCTATGAAACTTTAATTTCTCACATTTCAATGTAAGCCAAATGCCTAAACTGGGCACGCTTTTACAAATCATTTTTTATTGCGACTTTTTTATAAACTCTTACAAGTGCAAAGGTTCATTCCCAGCAAATTTAAAGTAATATATAGTCTTGAAATGTCACGAATTGCCTTACTTTAAACTAATTGTCTCGAATTGCAATACCCTCTGTGGGATTATTTTATACCCAATAATTCAAAACTCAACTTTCGTCAAATAAAGTTATTGCTTTTGACAATAAATTGCAATTCAACAGTGTTTGTCTTCAGTTAACGGGTATCTGCCAGTTCTATCAGGGTTCCTGATAGTATTTTTTATTGTTCCAGCGTTTTATTGAACTTAAAATGACAGTTAAAGGTTGTGTAGATGAGAGAGATAGAAATGGCATATGTTATTTTGATGTCTATAGACAGAATTTTATATATACAAGGAGCGTGGCCTCCTATATAGCAGTTGTCCATATGACCCAAGCGACCGCAGCGGCAGCGACGTGAGCCATCCAGGCACGATTTGCATGATGTCCATACCGATCTGGAGGGCCAAGGGTTGACAGCTCCGCTGATTTATTGTACAACCCTTACGAGCATTGTGGCAACAGAAAAGTTTTTTCCAGGCATCCTAGTATTAGTTTGTTAGGGCCAAGGGTTGACAGCTCCGCTTGATTTTTATTGTACAACCTTTACGAGCATTGTGGAAGCAGAAAAGTTTTTTCCAGGCATCATAGTATTAGTTTGCTAGGGCCAAGGGTTGATAGCTCCGCTGATTTATTGTACAACCCTTACGAACATTGTGGAAACAGAAAAGTTTTTTCCAGGCATCATAGTATTAGTTTGTTTGTGACCATCAAAAAATGAAGGGGTTCCACTTGGTAGCTGAATAAATGCGCTTTTCTATTGACTAAAGTAGATAATTAAGTAATGTCCAAGTGGTTATTAATGGACTGGTCGTTCTGCATATCGTTTTGTCGTGCAATTTAATTATAAAGAAATGGGCGATGATCAACAAAGCGCGATTACACTTGCATGAATTACGATCAATTAAGTAATTATTCGGAGGTGAAGCTACATACTGATGCATTTCCTACATTCGTTGACTTGATCAAAATCCTGATTTCATTTAAAAGCGTATTGGAATAACCCTTCGTTGTTACTCGCAACATCGTGAGAATCGATAGAAATAAAGACAAGGCCGTCCTCTGCTAACAGAACGTGAACTATCGAAGCGAAGGGATCAACGAGCTCTCAAAGTGTAGTGGCATCTGGCCTACACTGAAATTTACCGTACCATTCGCCGGGTATTGAACTCGTTAGTCTGGACGTGTTAACGAATTTGACCGTTTTGTTAAATTCTCTGACGGAAATGACATCGCAAAAAGCAATTGTTGAAAACACAAAGGACATGTTCACCTCACTCTGGATTTCTGGTCAAATGCTACTATCTTTTTATGCGAAGATAATGAATTACAGACAGCGAGCGATGCAAACTTTACGGCGTCATCCAATTAGACGGTCTAGGGCTCGGTTGCCTTGTTAGGGTCGTGTAGTATTAAATTGATGGAACTATTATTTTAAACGAATCTTGTGGCTTGGAGAATGTCTAATTTTATTCTGTTCAATTTCTAGTGAGGACGCGACTTCAGACAGCTCCGGGAGCCATCTGTTTGTAAGACTGATCTCCTAGCTGTCCATCTTTTGTAGTATTGCTAGCAACTGACACCTGCTCACAGTGCTCGATCAGCCATCTACACGCGGAGCGAACACTACACGTGGATACAATAGAACGTCTTGCTCTATAGCAAGCAGCTAGGACAGAGCACAGGTAAATTGTTTACATACATTAAAACAAATAATACTAGTCTTCTAGCTCAAGGGACACAGTATGAATTCTCTTTTTAATTTTTTGCAAGAAATACTAGTTCCTTTAAAAATTCTCACCTCTGTATCATTCCACACCACATGGAGTTTGTAGTTCCTGAGGATGGTTGGGTGATCGTTAACGTGCTTCACGCCCAGATCGAGAGCCGGCATCACTCCGCGCCCCAAATCGGACTTCTCTGTCCCGGGTTCCATCTGCAAAAGAAGATTAACAATTCATCACAATTGCTACCATTTTTTTCAGTAAGATTATCTTCGTGCCACCGAAAAGTGCATTATCAACCAGGAACCATGAATGGTCTACAACCGAGAAGTGCATTATATGTATATCCACCGGAATCCACGAATGGTCCACATTCATATCGACAAAGGATCAATACGGATGAGCTGTTCATTGCTGTTCGAATGAAGGAATTATTCTGCCTGAATGTGGGGCAAAACCATTATCTCCGCACGGCGGCGGGACTGTCGGATTTGTGTCTAGTTTTAGTGACGCGCTTGTGAAGAGCTTCGAGCTAGGGTTGCCAGTTGGCCTAAAAAAGGCCAAGTTTACGGACAAAAAAATGCCTATTTTCCAATTTTAAATAGTAAATTTACAGGTTCCGTTGCAAAAATTCAATTTTCCTTATTATTTATACTTTTCAAAATTCAATAGGGAAGTGCCGTATCGCCATCTTAATTTCTTGCCGACCAACGCAATTGAAAAAAAAAAATAAATCGTGGAATTCGTTCGAAACAAGACCGTCTGGCTGCCCTGCTTCCAGCCTTGGCTCATATTTTTTTACTGTGTATCCTTCAGTTGCAGGACTACGCAGCCCGACTTCATATGATAACAGTGAATAAAATATCTACCCAAGAGCTGCCTCGAAAATTATATTTGTTTCTAAAATTAGTGTTCTTTGCTACGCGCAAACCTGCGTACTGCCTGGGTTTGAAGCCGTTCTCTATACAGGTTTACTCGTCTCGCCAAAGCCAAAAAATTTCCGGACGATGAAGCTAAAGTCGTTCAAGTTGAAAGGATCGTGGTTTTGCATGTAGGTGTCAACGCTTCAAGAATATTTTCTATATTCTACCGCAAAAATAATCTTATCGGGAGGACCGGAGATAATGCAAAGTCGATGCAGGGCTCGTCCATGCATATGTTGCTGAACTTAAGGACACAGGATCAGGATTCCTGGCAGGACATTCAATAATGCAAAGTGAAACCCAATGTACCCATAAAAACATGGAATAAATGAAGGCGAACATAAAAAAATCTCTTATACATTCTCTCAAGAACTTTCGATGCCACACTTTTTATACGAGCGAATACAAAAATACAATTCATCTTACAGCGTTTACTTTTCATGCTTGAATAATGATGGCACGCTTGAATGAAAAATAGATGGCGTTTCAATTGATGCAGTCGCTCAATAGCGACTCCTTCAATGGCAAATGCCATCAATTTTTGGAATGCTAAAAACTCTGCGGAATTTTTTGGAATGCGATTCATTCTCAATAGGAGTCGCTTCAATAGCAAAGTGATTATAATAATCCCAGGCAGGCTGGCACCCAAACGTGTGTATCCTTTCTTATTCATGAAGGAAAATCCCCTTCAACGAAATTTTCCAGCAAATAACTCAACACATTCGTAGTTGCATGCACGCAGAGGAACAGACTTGTATTCTAGCGGCTTGTTTTGTAGCCGAGTGACGATTTTCCTGTGCAGAGTATGGACGAAGGCGTATGTCTCGTCTCGATGTTATTATTCGTGACGGCTCTGTTTGTCTTCTTGCCGTCTTTGTTATTTAAATAAAGGCAATCGCGTGCCTGTTACCAAACAGAAGAGCTTTCAGTTGCGCCAAGACGGCAAGCCAGCCAAGAGGTTCTAATGGAAACTGAATCTCAACTTTTTGGCACACTACGTGAAATAACTCACTTTTACAGCAATATTTTCCAATGCCTGTTTGATATCGTTGTTTGCTTGAATTGAATTTTGGATTTTTCGCTCGTGTAGAATTCGTAGAACGAAGCAGTGGCAGGTACACTTTATTTGTCCATCAGTAACGAGCTCGGAACAAAGAAAAGCCCAAATTCTAATTTCAAGAAACGTGCTACTTTTAAATTCCTGCTGAGGTTTTGCTATATTTAGTTAAATTTAGTCAATAATTTTAGTAAATTTAAGTCATTTTAAAAACGTATTGGGATTAGGTTATTCTTTATCGAATTGAAAACGGATGCAGCAACGAAGCCTTCGTAAAAATTGTTTATCTAGTCTGCGGATAATAGTCACGAACAGCCCGGAGATTGAATTCCGATGCGATGTACGCTTTTCCAGGGTTAAAACAAAGCCGATAAACAGGGTTTAAAAGAAGTGACTGAAAGCCAAAGGTAGTTTTGAAAAAAAATTTTTACATCATCAGTCACAGTCTATTTTCACTACATTCATCAGGTCAATCGATTTAGTCCTTCGATTGGGCTCTTCATCTGCTCCTGCGATATCACTATGCCTCTTGGTTCTCCATCAGGCGCTATTGCGATGTAACTAATTAAGCTTCATTACCACCCAGTTGAGAAGCATATTTGTTTCGAAAAAGTTTAATGAACTTCAATTCTTCCTCATCCGAGATCTTCGAGGAATATTTGATCAGTGCTATGAGATGAGAGCAGACCAAATAGCGAAACTTCCTTCGCCAGCACATCGGTTTTGTTTTATAAATTTATAAAAAATATTAATTAACATTTCCACGGGGAATCACCCAATTTTAGACTTGTGATTGCGAATAAAAATTGAAACTGCTCATACTCGGGTAAAAATTTCTTACTGGCACAGTTATTTACTTCCATTGGATTCGTGGGAGTTTTATTTGTATGCTATTTCGTCGAGAGATCAAATATGGAGGGATACGTGTGTTCATAGTTGGATACTGCGATCGAGGGTAAAATTTGAGCGTTCCGAATTTGACCTCTAGACAAAAGTTTGAGGAAAGAGACTAGAAAAATTCGGAGACAATAAAAACATGAATCAAATCATGGCTGAAATTATATTTTCTTTAATTAAAAGTCGCAAGACGGTACATATGCTAAAGCCCCAAGAATTCGCTCTATGCTGCCGAATTCCGATAGCGATTCTTCTTGACGGATAGTGAAGAAGAAAGGGAACCGCCAACCTGTTCACGCGCATGACCGACCCGCAAATCGTGAATAAAGAAAAACCGTGGTTACGTCAGGCACCAACAAACTAAACTGGCACAAAAGGCTAGATGCGGAGAAAGGTTTTCTGATGACACAGTTGATAAGAATCGCACATCGTAGCGTAAAGTATTCGTTGCTGGACTGAAAATCTTTCACTGGAAAACTGTCAAATAATTGAGAAGAGTATTCAAAGAGGCAGGTAAACTGTTAAAAGATGATGTTAAAAGATTTAAAATGCATTGACAATTAGGGGCTTAATTATTATTTACTCGGGTCTTAAGTGAAAAGGAACAGGATTCAGCACTTCAGCACCACATGTTCAGTGCCGCCGCAGATAGGGTGACGTACCTAATGTACTAAAACTCCTTGGGTGAACTGTCGGTGCAGAGCTGGTTCCTATAGGGCTCTAATGAAGGAATTAAAATTTATTTATTTTACCCTCCCAATGAAGAGAAGCACCACAAAATAGGAGGGCTGGTCCACACCGCGCAGAGGTAGGTTGCCGGGGCCAAAGTAATGGTCGCAGCCTAGACAGGAACTAGAGGTGCCTGAGAAGACGTAGCGCAGACATCACCTAACTGAGAGCGTGTAGGCGCTCACGCCACGAGTCCTAACCATCGTTCGTTGAGGCTTCTATATGAGGCTTTACTTCATTTCAAATCTAAAGATGTACCAGGGTCAAAGATTCCTCAAAGATTCCTCCACGCAATGACACTCGAAATTTAGAAAATTAAAATGAATCAGTATCGTATCCTAAGCTTCATTAGCAGTCTTCATTGAAAACGGTTCAAAATCTAATTTTGAGATTGGATCTACATTATGCGTCACCCAAAATTAGGCACAGAGCAAGCTATAACCCTAAGGTAATGATATTGAAAGCAAAATCTTACTTTTTTGATAAGCCTCGGTAAAATTCTGGATTATCTATTCCAGCCATTATTCTTGAGAAGAATAATTTATTGTGGTATAAATCACTTGTCATTCATTTTCCTGATCACAAACTATGAAGGTCGTCATATTCAGATCGTCATAAATATTCCAAGTTACCTCCACAAAACGTCTGCATCAGTTCAGAGAGTAGATAACAGCTTGCATCTCTGCCTATAGGAGCGTATCGAGCGCATCATTCTTTTGCATGCCGCCGCCTGCCTTACAAATCAATGGCTGTCAATGGCAGCTCCGCCGCTAACTTCCCGTGCGCCCGATATTATGCGATGCTTCGAGGTCATGTCATTTCTTAAGTAAAATTCCTCATTTATTTTGCTCAGATCCCTTCTTGCTTTGTCCAGAATTGGAAGTTTACCTAACAAATGGATGTGTCATTGTGAGTATTGGCGGCAATTTATTAGATTGCGTGGAAGAAAATTTTTCATATCATTTACTCCTTAAATCTCATCAATTGCAAACTTGATGCGGTTCATTGCTCAATGTGATCAGTTGATTCTAAACTATTGCACGAACTTCCTCGGATCATACTTGGCCAATATACTTCTTTTGAACCGTCAAATGTATTTCCGATCTGATGATAAACTTTTATCGATCAATGTGCTACTTAAACTGCATTTTATGTATATTAGACCAGTGCAATAAGGCAAATGTAATTTAATGGGCCCATTGGTCTGTAATGTATTGGTCTGTATTAGGCCCATTACTCTGAGTAATGAGTAATGGGCTCATTACCCCGCATTTTACTCACCATATCACTTGTACCTCCAATTTAATAGGCCCAATTACTCTGACGGACTGACATGACTCACCGAGAGACTCGATCGTTGTTAACACAACCTTCATCCGAGTCTCGATCGACTCACCATTATCATCATCAATCATCATACACAGTATCAACCACGTCCATCGTATCATCATTTGAGAAAAATAAAATAGAGTAAAATACTTAAAAAAGTTAAAACTCGTGTAAATAGCGCGAACGCGCATTCATTATATTTTTGTTAATTGTACTCAAAAAATGTAAATAAGGAACCACCACCCTCCCATACCCTCCGTGTGAATTTCTCAAAGCTCTGATGGGTCCCTCCTCTATCCACAATCAAACCTAACACTCACAACCAACCTAATCATGCGCAATGCTCCTTCGTCACCGTCTACGATGCTTTCCATTTCTTCTTCCTCTTTCTGGTTAATCTACAAATTTGGAGCAGCAAAATGTAATAATTTTTGACGAGATTTAAGTAGGAAGATGAATATTAATGGTGATAGTCATTCACTTTGGCATAATTGGAGTACGATGCTTTCCATTTCTTCTTCCTCTTTCTGGCCACTCAGCGCCGCCTCAGGCTCTTTGACATACTTTCCTAGTGGCACCGCAACAATAACAACAAAAAAAGACGCTCTGTAACCACATTTTTATTATAGACTGAGAAGTGGAATACAGAGAGAATTATGAAAATATTTCATGGCAAGTCCATATGGCAGCGAAAATTTTACAAAATAGCAAACAGAAAATACAGTCAAAATTACCCATCTGAAAAAGACTGGCCCGAATAAAAAACACCCTGCAGTCACCAATAGCTTCATCTAATTGTCGTGAGCACGTTTTGCATGCCATATGACTTTCTACTGTTAGGTATTTCCCGTAGTGTTTCGTCTTGTAGCTTTCGATGCATCTATTCAAGTCAAGTTCGTTGAAATTCACAGGAGTTGATCACAAATCTCAATAAAATCCACCTCATTTGAGAAACGGAGCTTACTTGGAAAATAATTTTAAATTGAAGCGGATATTACTGACAATAATTTCTATAACTGCTTGAGAATCTGAGCTCACCGAGAGGAAACCTAGCCAAAGGTCATAAAATTCTACATCTGTTATGGCCAGACCCTCGAAGTCTTCGAGGCTGTCGAACAAAAGGAACGTCGCCACAAACCTGTTGCGTCGCAGAGCAAACCATCGATAATCTCCTGCCTCGCCATTGACGCCCACGGTGCCGTTTACAGCGCGAGTGTAAACGCCAAGCGGTGAGAGGGAGTTGCAAATTCAGAATATAAGGTTAAGGCTACTGAACTTGAGGCTTTTAGCTGCGTATTTATTACGTCGATGATCTTTCGATGTAGGAGTCTGGTATCGTCCGCGCTTAATTTGTATTTCCGTTGAGATAATTATGAGCTGGACGATAGAGATGAACGCTTGAAAAGTCTGAGAGTTGATAAAATAGCGCAAAAAATTAGATCAGTACTCACTGCAGTGAGGAGTGACAGAGAGCGCATTTTCTCGTCAACGAAAACGTCACGGACGGACGGACGGACAAGAAGACACGACTAGCACAAGTGCGCCTTTTTTCCATAAATGAGAAAATGCGCTAAAAAAGTGCTTGGATGTTACTGAAGAATTTACAGTAAGAAAATTTCTTTAATTTAAACTTAAATATAGTTATTACGATAAACTTTGAGCGTTGATGTCACAACCGAAACTTGGAAATCAAGACTGAACATTATAAATAGCAGTTGCAATTAACAGGCTAAACCAAGCTTTGGTTCCATCAAAATTCGCTTCCAGTCTTGTCCAGTGATTACCTACTAAAATTAATATATAATGAGTTTTCCAGGCGTTAATTAACGAAGAATGCATTATGTAAACGGAAAATGTTGGTGCTGAGCAAATTAGTCCTTGAGGACCGAAGGCAATTGGAATGAACATGCGGCGTGTCGGACCCAGCCCGCCGCTGTGCTGGATGATAATTAGGTTCTGGCGGGCGCTGCTGCTACGCGCACGCCAGCATGCCATGGCATTATGCATGCAATGCCATTAAGCATTCCAAGGCTATGAGTATGCAATGCCATTCCTCTTTTAATGCCAAAGCTATACGCATGCAATTCCATTACCCATGCCATGGCTGCACGCATGCAACGCCATTAAGCATGCCAAGGCTATGAGTATGCAATGCCATTCCTCTTTCAATGCCATTACACATGCCAAAGCTATACGCATGCAATGCCATTACACATACCACGCCATTACGCATAGTACCACGCAGCCCAAGTCACCTTTTATGTCTCTAATTTTGTGGGAATTGTTAACTTTTTATGTTATTTGTCCACTAGGATTGTCTCCTGAAGGAAAGAAGGCTTTGCAGGGATGTTACGCATCCAAAGCTTACCAATATTATGAAGAGGAATAATTTGTCTATATAATGTCACTGCCAAATGGCTCAGGACGAAGCGTCGTGCTTCGAAGTTCTTTTGCGGTGCAGCCCGCCATCCTTCTCTTAGCAGGTTGTCCGCTGTTTACTTCTGTTATCAGACAAATTTGTAGTTGTCACCATTCGTTCTTCTCTTCGAGGCCTGTACGAAAGGTCCCTTCGGCTCTCGCAGTTTTGTTAATTAAATTTTTAATCAACGTTAACGTCTAATATCTCCTGGTCGTGAGATCTTTCTGTCATGGCGGGTAAACTTCGGGCGAGCTGACGTTTGCGTTCAGGTCTTACGTTTAATTTACATCTTCATTGAACAGTTCCTGAAATTTCACCTTAGATACACTGACCTCAATATAATTAATGACGCTAAGTATTCATCCTTAAACTATAATTTTTCTCCTGCAGCAGTAAGTGCAAAAATTACCATTCCGGTATTACTAGGCATTTATTTATATACTGATCAAGATCACACATGTTAAAAGTTCTGCCACAACAGCCATGAAAAGTCGTAAATGGCTCCCAAGAAGCCTGTTGCTGCAAGGAGGATCCCAATAATCGACCACTCAATAACCAAAGAAAAGCTCACTTTGAATGATCTATTGCTGGGTCGTCTCTACACATCAGCAGACCAGCATTTGCTTACAGCGTGTAAGACGTCACTAAGAATCGCGTGTAAGACGTCACTAAGAACCGCGTGTAAGACGTCACTAAGAACCGCGTGTAAGACGTCACTAAGAAAGATTTAATTACACTTCCAATACTACAACACACGATCACGGGGCGTCCATTGTGTCGTGTTGAGGTCATGACATGAAGATTTATTTTAAAGTAACAATTTCTTTGAGGGATTTTTAGATAATTTGTTTAACAATCGCATACGGCCAGAATCAATGTCATTAAGTGTTGGCTTTGATTGTGGCTTGGCAATCTATGACAAAAATCAGGAAACCAAAAACAAATCTTCTTTCTTCAAAAACCTTTGGCGTAGAGTCTAATTCTTAAAAGCTTTCGCAACATATGTTCCTTAGAGAATAAATGTAATAAATAACTGGAGCGAATAAATGAATGAACCTCGATTATAAATTAAAGTGTAAATTGATTTGAAATTTCCCTCTGAATAGCAATACACACCAGATCTCAGACGTCTATGTATTTCGGTCTAGGTTAATGGGGTTGAGGATAAATTGTTCAAGGACATAGTTTATTAACGCCAATATAAGACAAAATGTCTAAAACTGAATTTATCTGTCTCGGTGAAATTAATGGTTGATGGCAGGTTATTGTGCTGTGCAGCAACAAAACATTTTTCTGTACTGTATATAGCAAACGTCGTCGGGATCAATGAACGATAAATCGGTAGTGTCGAGTACAAAATTATTTTCATTCATCGAGGCTCAAATAAATGGCTATTGTGAAAAACTGAAAAGCAATGGTCATTCAACGCACATGGAATTTGAAATTAATGAGGGTTATCATAAACTGACTCCCTCTGAGTCAGTTAATTATAGGAAAGGTTAATTTGACATAGCACTGAAACAAAATTCTATCGAGCCGTTGAATCGTCATTTTGATTCAGTTTCGACGGTTAAGCAAAAAGCAATGATTATCGTGCTCCATCAAATTGTCAATCAATGGAAATTGGTTACTTTAAAAATGTCATATGAGATACTCAACCGTGAGCCTGAGATACTCAACCGTGAGCCTCAACCGTGAGCCTGATTTTTACCGAGCTCTGTAAACAGAGCTCGGTAAAAATCAGTAATGTGAGCCTCCCGGTACCCACTTGAAGCTTGTGACCCTCGCAACCAATATTGGATAAGTATAATGAGCATCGTTGAGCGGGGCAATGGTCGTAATTGCAGTCTCAAAAAAGTCTCACAGAGCTTCGCTTTTCAAGCGCCTTTCACAGTAATTGTATTGGCTCGAACTCGCCACAATATCATTTTACTAACGTGAACTATTCTTCATTCAAAAATTCTGGTCTAAACCAGTAAAAATAAAAAGAAGAAAAAACGCTGTAGTATTAATGGTGATATTAGTACACAAGTTTTAGTAGTAGTAATGGTACTACAGTTGTATAAGTACACAGTAGTAATGTAGTATGTTGTACATAATGTAGTAAATGTTGTAGTATTGATACACATGGTACTAATGGTAGCATTAGTACACATTTTGTAGTAGTAGTAGTAGTAGTAGTAGTAGTAATAATGGTAGTAGTATAAGTACACATGTAGCAGTAGTAGTAGTAGTAGTAATGGTAGTTTTACTACTAATGAGCAAGTATGTCGCAGGAGTACTACTAACCCTTCGCAGTAGTTGATATGCGCTCCGCGATGTAACGCGTTGGTTGATTTCTCCGACCTTATGTTCGACGCCGTAGCCTCTACCTGTATCGTATCTCTTGTATAAACACCCCGTATATCATGATATGTTATCTAGAGAGCTGTGTTTTACTTATCTTTCACGACCTTAGTCACGTATCCCGATCCTCAGGTAGCGTTTAATAAATATAAGTACTGACGAGTGGCACCCAAACAATGTAATAACAGCCGTGTTCTCTTAAAAGTGAAACTCGACTGCTTGACAATAATTTTGAGACTTTAAATACGGTGGTGAAGTCAAAGACTTTTTAAATATTTGTGATTATAGCAACACTGTCGCATAGTGATTTTCGTGCGGCCAAGCCTTTCAACGGAGAGTTCTGTAATGGTCATACTCACTTAAACATCTGATTAACGGAATACAAAAAGACCTTCATGTACTAATCACACTATTTCAGCAGCCGAAAACTGTGTGAATATTCAAGTTTGGACTGGCGCGCCTTATAAATTAACCTGCAACGTCAAGAATTCCTTATCTATGCCTACGACAGGCGCCGAGAAATTTGAAGCGTCCGCGAAATTGTTCTTGCGTTCGTTGGAATCCAGTACGAACATGCAGAGCTGAAGGTGACTACGAGCAACTACGAGAGCGACTACGAGCGAAAAGGTCCGGCATCAGCCAAGGTCGTCTACGAGCGTTCTACAACTAAGGTTTTGATCTCGTGATCTAACACGTGATTTCTTCCAGATGCTGACCGATATCTATAGTACTTTTCCATCAATCTCTATCAGGTCAAGTGAATATTACGACCCAATTACATATGATGTAATCATATAATATAATTATAATGATTATAATGAGACGCCAAATTTGCACATGACAAAATTAATAAAAATTGTTATTCCCTCGGAAGAATTTCATGGTTAATTTTTCACTTGGTTTAGAAGACAGCTGCTGCGGTGTCTGTAGGAGCAATGATAACGTCTCTACAACTTTACTCGTCACGTCAGTAAACAGATCTTCTTTAGTACTATTGATATCACCGTACTCGAATTTACACGGAAACTACTGGAATTTGTTAGCACTGCCACGGCAAAAATGCTGTGAGAATTTAATGATTTACAGTGTTTGTACTAGCTATTCAGCCGATTTATTTTTCGTCGCTAGTGTCCATAAAAAATTGAAGTGGTAGTTAAAATCAGACACAGCTTAATTCCCCACAACGTTTGTACAGTCGATGGCAAGGAACTACAGCAGTAGTAGATGGGCCGTTAAACGGTATAATGTTGTTCAATCGAACTTATTTCCAATTTAGGAAATTCGTCAAAGTATTTTTCAGTTTCTAGCCTTATTCATGCTTTGTTTCTAATGATCATAGAAATAATACTTTGTTTAGGAACTACTGACGTTCATCAACTGATTCAATTTCTCTTCACATTTCGCTGTAGTGCTATTATAGTTAGTAAGGTGATATGCCATTACCATCGAAGCGACGGTTATTACGAGCTCGCCTCCCTCACCCTCCGCGTATGTCGGGTTTTGGAGCCTCCTATTGCATGAGAGTTGGAAATTGAATTAAGTTGGTCTAATGATCACTGATTATTCTGGACAAATACAGCCAGAAATGCGAGAACCTCAGAACGTAGCTTGATCAACAGTGAACGTACGTAGCTGAAGGCGGCCGTCGCTTCAAACCATGCTGTTCGCTTCCCCTAATAACTTGAATAAATATTTATTATTTCCTCAAAGAAATAATATCATCACCATTTAAAGAAACGTTCATGATGTTTCCAGAGAATCACCTTCTTGTTTTAATTAAAGATGCAATTGAATGGAGTGAATTTTCTAAACATGTGTCATGCGCTGTTGGAAATGAAAACGAAGTAAAGCCTACCATGAACGGAGTTTTTACCCTGGTAAGTGGAAGAAGATTCGCCGTTTCTTTGGCTAGAGACGAAAGAAGCACGAAAAGCCAAGAAAATCTTTTGTGGTCACAGAAGCGAGGTCGCGAGCATCGATTGTCAGCGCTCTCGACCGTCGAAAGGACCTTCGAGCGCAGAGCCTGTGACTTGCAGGTCTTCGAGAGCCCTTGAGTGACCGAAACTCCACGAGGAGGAACCGTCAGAACACTACACGAGGAGGCTCCGTCAGAACACTACACGAAGAGGAACCGTCCGAACATTCACGAGGAGGAACCGTCAGAACAATACTTGAGGAGGCTCCATCAGGCTCCGTCAGAACACTACACGAGGAGGCTCCGTCAGAACACTACACGAGGAGGCTCCATCAGAACACTACACGAGGGGGCTCCATCAGAACACTACACGAGGGCCACTTCATAAACTTGTAGTGAATCATTTTCTGAGTCATTGTCGAACTCAAGTGATAAATCAAAGCGTACCTTTAAAGCTTCTATTCTATCGCGATTCTATTACTTCATAAGTTAATCTAAGGTTTCTAAGCCAATTACCAGTAATTCACGCTGTATATTGATCTCATA